CAGCAGGAAAGAGACTAGGCCAGTGCCCGGTTCTGTCGGGAGGGTAAGAGTCTTTTATCATTTAAACCTAGTCAGTCATGGAAGGAATTGCAATCGGGATTAATTTGTCTGGTAATATGATATGTGACGTTAAGCATAATAGAAATATAATCGTGTTGTTGGAGTCGTGTGAAAGTTTAACCTTAGATTTTCTGCACTGGGCAAGGCACACGATATATGGAATGTGTTTTCAAGGAAACATGCCACAGACATTTCGGAGTGAAATGCTGACTACATTATTGTCATTGGTAATAGCAAACAGCAAAAACCACTTGTGAAGGAACACCCAGGTCCTGCAGCAACCAAGTGTGAAAATAGCCTTCCCCCCCAACATCAAAAGCAAAAAAAAAAAAAAAAGTAGCAGGGCACAGAAGACACCACGAAAATATACCATTGAACCTTAAACATGAAGTGCAAACAAAGCCACCGTGTTCACCATCATGGCGTATATGGTCGAAAGGACTTCCAATATTTGCACAAGCTTCGGGTTTTGTTTTTGCTTATATTGGAGGGGGGGTTCCCCCTCAGCTCGTCACGATTAAATTTCTGAGGGAACCTCGTGCTCTGTTGTGAGCACAGCGAAATAAAGGAAGGCATCCCAAATATTTCACATGAATGCACTTTATGCAAGGTGGGTGGGAAAAAGCTCGTGGCTCCGCGTTTAAAGTATGTCCTTTCCACTGTAAGAATCAACGACGATGCCTCACGTCCTGTACTGCTAACGTTTGCACAGAGGTTTGCTAAATACCTGGCGTTAGAGGGAAGGGGGGAGAGGTTAAAAATAAGGTCTCTCAGAAAATGATGCGGGTCCTGTAGCCAAATACTCTCGATACATAGTAGTGCATATGCATAGACACACGCACGCACATAATCTAATTACAGTTTCACGTAAGGAAACAATTTGACCTTCAGCGTCTGAGTTGAGACAACAAATCAAGGATATTAGTGTAGTACAAGCAAGCAGTAAGTTAGGAGACCCCAGGGAAAGCCATCCTCATAAGCGCTCTGGTTGTGCAAAGAGAGTTACATTCAGGTAAAACCGGGCTGCAGCGCCTTCTGATTTCTCAGGAGTTGAAAAATGATTAACTTCGCTTAACCCCGTGAAAGAGTCACGGAAAAGCCCCTCCGTACTGTCAGATATCAACTGGAAAGAGGGCAGCATTTTCCCAGCTGCCTGGTTTGCATTCTCTGGACGCCTCGATAAAGAGGAGCCATCCGCACCGTTTGCAAGAATTCCTTTCGCGAGAGCAGGTTTTCTTACGTGGAAATCTCTATCCGCGAGGGAGAGGACATTTTATAGGTCCTTCCTGCTGCAGCCTGAGCCTGTGCCGAGCTCTAGACCCGCAGAAAGTTCAACCAGGCGATGGAGAAGCGCAGGAGCTCAACCGCCATTTTAAAACCACACTTGTAGCTGAGCAAAAAAAAAAAAAAAATGTTCAGGGAAATTCAGCTTGGAAAATGTGGCCTAATCCCCCATCACCGGGAGTGGATTAAGGTATTTACAAACTTCTCCGGGGGGTGGGGGGCCCCGGGGCGGCCCCGGGGCCGCGGAGCGCGGCGGC